TAAGTTGAAAGTCAGAGTTATAAAACAAACAAAAGACTGTATAGTGATGGTGTAAATTATATAACCGGGTAAACTATACTAGACCGAGTCTAGAATCGTTTACTTGATTCGATAAAGTAAAAAGGTAAAAACATGCAAAGTGACCGGGAGGACTGTAGGTAGAAACACCTGTAACCCAATTAATATTATAACAGAGAATGCACGAGCGCTTTTACAAGGGAGTTTAGAGAGAATGAATTCGGATCCCTTCTTTCGAAAGTTACAGCAGTATTTATACTAAGTTAGAGGGGACAAAGTATCATGCAGCCACGTTGAGGCACGTTCCTAGGTGGTGGGAGGTGATGACCTTCGTCCTCTAGCTGTTTTGTCACCTTGCGAGGAAGATTGCTCTCTTATCCTGTAGCACTTTGGATGGATTGTTCAAGCATCTCCAACGATCCTCTACTGATATGGATCGCAACGGTCCAAACCCGTTTGGACTCTTCTCTACCGACACTTTCTAACCCTAGAAACTACACCAAGTAATTTCCTAGAGAAGTTTATCGCATTTAAGGAATGAATGAGGCGATGAAGGAGTTTGACCGGTGTACTATCCGAAGTGTACCGGTCAACGTTTTGGTCAATCAAGCATCCTTTTAATGGCGATTAAAGTCTCCCTTTCCAGTACAACCCACTTGACCGGTCAACTAGTAAGTCCTCTTTTTTGACCGGTCCTGGATGGAATACACCCATCATATAGTATATAAAAAACATACCAATATTTTTAGTATTTATATATTAAGGTTCATAAAATAAATGTCTAATGCTTTCACTTTCATTGGAGTTTAAATCCAGGTAAACTTTACCAGAAATCTTGAAAAATAATGTAAAAGTTCAGTGAGAAATTTATTTTGAGATGAAATGAATGCAAAACTAGCAAGTTTGTCTTGAGAGACCGGCATTTTGCAAACAACATTCTCTGTAAACAACTAGATTCATACCCGTGCGTTGCACGAAAAATAATTTTTTCAAAAATTTTAAAATTGAGAACTTAATAATATAATTATCTAAATTCAAATATATAATTAAAATGTAAAATCAGTCGTCGTTGCCCATCAACTACTAAAATCAAAGCTGTTTAGCGGTTCTGGAGCCACCAAAAGAGAGGACGTACTATGAAGAGGCGACGATTCTATTATCCCTATTCATCATTGTTGTCAAGGTCGGTAGAAGGGCGGGCATGGGTCTATTATTTTTCATGTTGCCAATGACAGCATATATCATCTTACGCCATAGATGAGGAAGATATGTGAATTGAAGGGAATTCATTTAATAAGTCAGGTCTGTTGATATTTCTTAGATAGATCGGTTCATCTCCTCAACTCTACCTTTTTAAGTCCATATATCTGTGTAGAAAAAACACAATAAATTCGCTGTAATTTCAATCCCAAGGACTAAGAAAGAATAAGACCAGTCTATTTCCAGGCCACTGTAATTTTTAGATGTTTTGTGAAATTTAAAAAGAAACCAAGTTTAACATCTTTCAATAAATATCTTCCAAATTTGAGAGAAATCAATATCAAGAACTGATATCTCCCTCAACCATCAATAACCAATGCCACCGATCGACTATCAATCTCATCACCAACCACCCCATTGGTAGCGAGGGTAGCAGTTAATTGCAAATTTCAAAACCCATATCATACAATCCAAAACTGACCAAAACAAACCTAAAATTGACCAAAACTAGAACAAGCCTACACATATGATAAGCACTGAGAAAAGCAAAAAAGGGGCAAAAGTTGGTGAACAATAAAATGTTGTTCCAAATTACACAATTCCTGTGGACATCACCAAGTTGTGTGATTTATGATATCAAAACTCCCCCCAGCTTTCATGATCAAAGGGAATGAAACAAAAAACAATGATCCCCAGACATTCTATTCAAATACAGCCCCCACCCCACCCCACCCCCACCCCTCAGGTAATACGTCCTACATCTCCTTGGAGTATACACTAAAAGTAAAGTGTCACCAAAGATAAAAATAAATTGAGAAATTGACAACACACACACAAAAGTGAAATCGGTTTACGGACAAGGAAAAAAACTAAAGTCGCCCCACCTTTCGCATCACTTTCCTCAGTTCTGTAGGGTGGGGTGCCCCGAGCACGATCCTAAGGACAATANGCACCCCCCCCCCCACCCCACCCCACCCCCACTCTACTTTATTGATTCTTCTTCTTCTTCTTCTCATCCTTCACGGCGGGCAGCACAAACCGGGGCAGGGTCACCAGCGTGTTGACCCGAGATACCCCTTCAAGGGCAGACCACTCTATCCCCTCCTCCTCTGTTTCCTCCTCCTCACCATCACCATTCACCTCTTCATCCTCCTCCTCAATATCTTCCTCCTTGGGGGTAGTAATAGGGGCAGTAGCATATACATTCTTACCTTTGTTGACTTCACTCCTTTGGGTTGTAACCGGAGACCAATCGCGCGAATCAAGGAAGAGGCAGACAACAGCACAGTCATCCACTTTGGAATTCGGGTACTTTGTCCTCCACGACCGGACAGCGGTCTCAACCACCACTTTAGCTGCAGATGAACGCGTGGATGATGCAACCGTCTTCACTACCTCTTCGTTGGATAGGACATCCCAAATCTGCAAAACTTATTTCAAGTGAGAATAAATTTAAATGTTTGAGATATATTTAAAAAAAATGCAAGTTTGAACAAAATAAATCAGCCCAAAGATTCCGAGGTCCTTATAAAATAGAGAAACTTAAATAAACTGAATTTGAACAAATAAATTTTTAGAATGGGTTTATTGGGTATGATGCAATTTTTTATTTCCACGCATTTTCTTACATTAACACTATGTTTGGTTCAAGGAATTTGATAGGGAAAAGAAAAAAAATTAAGTGGAAAATAAGTTTTCTTGTTTGGTTAGAGAGGAAAAGAAAGGAAAAGTGGAAGGAAAAGAAAATAAGAAGGCAAAATGTACTAAGAGGAAGAAAACCAAAATTCCTCCCATTTTGGTGAGGAAAATGAGAGAAAATCATTTTCTTTTCTTTTCCTTTCAAATTCCTTGAACCAAACATAGTGTAAAAATCACATCGTAAGTTCCTTCCCCTAGAATATTATGGGTTCCAATTCAACCCCAAGGCAACATAGGAAAAGGATATGGTTATATACCCCATCGGTAGCCAAGACGACGAACTCATCTTTCTCAGTTAAACGCCGGTATGAAACTTCTGGGACAGAGATAAGACCAAAATCCTTGAGACAGAAATCACCAAATGCACGTGCCATGGCAAGGCCAGGAGAATCTGCATTCGGCAGCCACACTCTGTGTACCCCTGGTTCGTCTCGAAGAGCAAACACGCGTCCCTTGCATTTTCTGATCCTCTCTGCTTCCACTGTTAAAATCAGAAAAAAAAAACAAAGATAAAGTTCAAGCGATTCATGCTTTATGGATAATAGAACGGGCAGCGTTCGGGTAGTTTCCATACCCATTAAATGAGGCAATGAACTTAAAAAAAGATCGGTTTGAGATAAATTAAGCGAAAAAAATGCATGTTTACCTGGAAGATTAGGCTTAAGATCCACAGTCAACTGTACTGCAGTAAGAGAATCGTTTTTATCTCTTGTCCCCAATACGGCTCTTGAGTCTCCAACATTCCCAATCACAAGATTGCGGCCCTGGGAAAAATGTAACATTTGCAAGGATGCTATGAAACATATCTAGCATTCCCCATTCAAGATCCAAGCTTTGAAAAAAGTAATGCAGAGTATCTGCAACAACACTAAAAAAAGGCACATTGCCTGTTCTGTAGATACATTTTCCTGCTTACCATCAGTCACTTGGCCAGAATTTTTTACCAAAAGTTAATTTACGTCATTGTGATGGCTGAACCAGCATATATTTGAAAAGAGTAGTGCATGGGCTTTCTTTTCTTTTTTACGGAAATGAATGAAATAAGTTACATATACACTTTAAAGTTGAAATACAAATTAATTTTTGTATTTATTTAAAGGATATATTTTGTGAACCGGGCTAATTTAGGAACGACATCTCTACCCTCAATCATTTTAGATCATATCAGACAGGCTCATAAAAAGAAAGAACGATATAAGTTCTCAAATAGCCAATAATGCCACAGGTCGTACCGAGTAATAATTACCTGTTTCACAAGAGTTACAGCAGTGGTTCCACTGCAGAAACAATCTATATTTGTAACGGACCTTAGTTCCCTATCCATGACCTTAAAAGCCTTCAAGAAAGATTCCTTCAAAGTCTTAAAGATATCAGGGTGCTTCTCAGTTTCTTCAACATAGGTGGAAGCCCTTGGGTCATCATCATCAATGGCTGCGAATGAAGAATCCAGAGAGTTTATACTACCCATCTTTAGGTTGAGCTCTCGAAGAACATCCTCACTTTTTGTATTAACTTCCCAGTGTGCACTCAGTTTCAAGGGAAGTGAATCTCTCACTCTCTTTGCTACCATATGACCATGAGGACCATGCCCATCAAATACACCACAAAAAACGGTATCTGTTGTTGACCCAAAATTCTGAAATTTTTTACTAGCAATGTAAATATCAACAAACTTTTCCATCTCACATGAAAAGATCTAATACCACATAACATAAAACGGGATACAACTATTAAAGTCATGGCTTAATTCATGAAAGATGTAACCAAAAAAAATTCTATTAGAATGCAGACATTGACAGCATCGCTCTGATCATGAACTATACTGCACAAGAATTTGCAAAGAGCTAACTCTGATCATGAACTATACATAATTTAAATATCTTGAGTTAATAAAACATAAAATGTGACAATTAAGCAATACATGGAACTCAGAATAGTAGGCAAGGGAAAAACATGTACCCTAAGAAAAACAGATTTTTTACGTATGGTTTACATGGGAGAATATGAAGGAAAATCGCGTTTGTTCAAAATTTTACATAGACTACCTCCACCCCAAAATCAAATTCTCAGTTTCCTTATCCACATGTTTTGAAATGAACTTAAAACTTCTCACATTTCCCTTCATGGAAGGGATTCAAGGGAATATGCAGCTCAAAACATTTTTCCAGCCACACCTTTTATTTCTCGATGCTTTTCATAAACTTCATGAAAGCAGAGTGAGAATTTGAGACTTTGATCCTGGGGCATGAGCATTTAGATTTCATGGTCTTTAAATAATACTCCGTAGAATAAGAGTGTTTATATAGAAAAAAAAAGCTCAAACGGACCTCCCAAACAACCATAGCATCTTGATTAGTTCCTTTCTTTCCCTGCTGAGTGAAGAGAGCAGCCACCTCGCTGGACCCGTTCAAGAACTGGCGACCCGGAATCCGATGCAGATGTTCCTCCCTCCTGTAATAGTCGAAGGAAGAACTCCGCGAGACCGACCTCCTCTTAAAGCTCTTCTTCCTCTGGATCCCAATGGGAGAGCCCGTCCGGCTCGGGCTCCTGCTGCTCTCGGAAGACCAGCAGGAACCCATCCGGAGGGCCCTCAATATATTCGATAAGCACTCCAGAACAGCCAGAGAATCAAACCCCCCTTTTTCCTCTTCAATTTCAACCCTCCTTTCTAACCTCTTCCCACAAATCCCACTCAAACCACCCAATTCTGTTTCTTCCCCAACAACACTCAATAAGACACCTACACAAATACAACAAGGAAAGAAAGATCACATAAACACCCTCTCCTCCGTTCCCTCTTTCAATTCACCCCAAATTACAGAAATTAAAGAGACCCAAAATCGAGGAAGAGCATATAAAGATCGGATCTACCAAATAAGGAATCACAAAAATCCTAAATCAGCTCAAATTGGATAAAGATTTAATCCCAGAAATGCTAGCAAAGATGAGAGGAAAACCCACAATTTTTTTTTCTCAATAGACGAACAGGATTTGGCGCACGGTTCCACGAGAATCGGTCAGCAAGCAAATCAGATTCTTCTCTGGAAGAGCGGAGATAAGTTAACGACGGGGAGAAAAATTAGGAAGGTGGACGGCGGAGATGGGCGGGGGCGCCACCGGAGATTGCGAGGACAGTAACGGAAATGAAGTGAGGTAATAAATGGTGTCACTGGGACTGGCTACACATGAATGCATGTGGATAAATTCGTTTCCTCTTCCTTAGATCTAATCTTGTCTCAATTATCCAACGACAAATCTAATCCTATTTTTTTGGAATATTATTCCAAATATCCTTCTCTCCATAATTAAATCACCTATTTTGATTTAAGGAGTTTTATTAGAGTTATTTTCTATTTCATTTAATTGAAAATAAGGGTGAAATTTAAAAATAAAAATTACATATTTAAAATCTCCATAAATAATTTATGAAAAATCAAAAGAAAAATCTAATCTTATTTTTTGGGAGTATGAATTTAATTTGGGAGAATGAATCTAATTATTTCATCTGTCCCAAATTAAATTACATTTATTTTTCAATTTGATTTATTTGGGAATTAGAGTGACTTTATAAAAAAATAAAAATTATATAAAAATTCTACGGAGTACAAAACAAATGTGACATGATAATATTATTTTGTCAAATAAATACTCCCTCCGTCCCTAAATATTTGCCACACTTATATTTCCGAGGCAAAATATCAAGTTTTTTTTATTCATTTTATTTGCATATTGGTATAGAAATAAAAAATAAAATTTACATATCAAAAAACTACATGAAAAGTTCTTCGAAATAAGAGGTGTCAAACATATTTTATTTTATCAAATAACCAATGAAAACATAGAAATAAACAAAAGTTCCCGCGACTGTTGAAAAAGCAAACATTGCAAATAATTTGGGACGGAGGGAGTAATAAAATAGACATAGAAAGTGAATGAAGTTTGATCTTGTAAATAGTAAACATACAACTTAAATTTAGACGAAGGAAATAATACTCACTTTTAGGGGTGTAAACGGATATTACTCGTATATTTTTACATGAATATTCACTTCGCCATTTCTTAGCTCCAAGTTATTTGATACTCCTCAAACAGTTTTGATTACGAATTTTATTAGAATCATTTTCTATTTAATTTAATTGAAAATAAGGGTGAAAGTTAAAAATAAAAGTTATATATTTAATATTTACATAAATAAATTTACGAATAAATCAAAAGAAAAATCTTATCCTGTTTTTTGGGAGTATGAATTTAATTCAAGAGTGTGAATTTAATTATTTCGTCTGTCCCAAATTAAATCTAATCCTGTTTTTTTTGGAGTATGAATAATTACATTCATTCTCCCAAGTTACATATTTAGATTCTACATAAATAATTTCTGAAAAATCAATAGAAAAATCTAATCCTGTTTTTTGGGAGTATGAATTTAATTTGGGAGAAAGAATCTAATTATTTCATCTGTCCCAAATTATATTGAAGTTATTTTTCAATTCGATTTTTTTTAGAATTAGGGTGAATTTATATAAAAAAAAGTAAAAATTATATAAAAATTCTACAAAACAAATGTGACATGATAATATTATTTGGTCAAATTAATAATAAAAATGGATATAGAAAATGAATAGAGTTTAATCTTGTGAATAGTAAACATACAACTCAAATTTGGATGGAGGAAGTATTACTCACTTTTAGTGGTGTAAAGTACCGTAAACGGATGTTACTCGTATATTTTTACATGAATACTCACTCCGCCATTTCTCAGCTCCAAGTTATTTGATACTCCTCAAATAGTTTTGATTACGAGTTTTTATTTGAATTATTTTCTATCTAATTTAATTGAAAATAAGGGTGAAACTTAAAAATAAAATTATATATTTAGATTTTACATAAATAAATTTACGAAAAGATCAAAAGAAAAATCTAATCCTGTTTTTTGGGAGTATGAATTTAATTATTTCGTCTATCCCAAATTAAATTGAAGCTATTTTCAATTTAATTGAGAATTAGGGTTAATTTATAAAAAATAAAATTTATATATTTAAAATCTACGGAGTATATAAAAATTCTACAAAACAAATCTGAAATAACTATATTATTTTGTCAAATGAGTAATAACAATGGACAGAGAAAGTGAATAAAGTTTGATTTTGTGAATGATGAACATACAACTTAAATTTGGACGGAGGACGTAATACTTACTTTAGGGGGTATAAACGGATGTTAATCAGATCAGATGTGTCATTATCAAATCTGTATTCGTTTGTTTATCGGATATCAAATATATATACGGATCATGGCGGTACTAAAAAAATTAAAATTGTATCCTCATCCGTCAGATATAGGTTGGATATCAGATATATTTGTATTTCTTTCTAAATTTTCAAACTCAAATTAAACTATATACGAAGTAGTAGCCTAGTCCAATGGCATCGTAATGACTCTCTCAAATGAGATGTGTTTGATCCCCAGTGCAGGCGGTAACTCTACGATCTTAATAAGCTGAGAATGTATGAACAAATAGTACATTGTAATAGAGATTAGTGTTCAAATAAAAATATACGAAGTAGTATATATATAAATACTTCTAATATATTTATTCAATTAAAATTTGTTATGAAGTAGTATTATTCTTATTTTTTTGAAATCTATACTATTCTACAAAAATCTCATATGGTAAAAAGTATTGCATACTACACATACACACCACACATGTATTTGTGCATCTACACATATATATTATATAAAATCACTCATTTCGTGACGAGCGGGTCTAATTATAACACATTTCATGTTGTTTTTGTTATTTATTACTTGTCAACTAATATTTATTAATTTGTTTAGTTCACATTTAAGTTGAATTGGCAGGGACAAAATATTCATGTTGTTTTTATTATTTATTACTTGTCAACTAATGTTTATTAATTGTTTACTCCCTATTTAAAATGTCATGAATTTTACGCATAAGTTGAATTGACAGTGACAGAATAGTGGTATAAAAACATAAAATTTCTGAGAGTAACAACGTTTATAAATGAATATGAGAGTATTCACGTAAAAACAACCATTTCTGGAGTATCCGCGTGAATTTTATTTTTTCCTTATTGATAATATATTTGTCCAATTTAATTTAACTCATTCAACCTTCAAAAAATATGCAAGCCTCATTTAGGGGTGTGCATCGGACATAAATTGGCTATGACCGAAACCGGAATTGTATATTTCCAAGGATCCAAGACCGGACCTTTCTGCAATTGATCTAGACTGGATTTTTCTGATCTAGTCTGATCTGAATCATCTCGTTCCGATTATACCCTACTACCGACTTGAATTATTTATTTTTTTGAGTAAATTCTCAAAATGCCCTTTCTAATAAAATGTTCTCCCAAATTAGTCTTCAATAAGCAATAATTACCAGTTGGTCCTTTATGATTGAGATACATTCCCTAAATAGTCCTCCATAGAAAGTGTCTATTAGATGACACTCAAATAGAATGTATTTTGGTATTTTCTATTATCTAGATCTAAAATATGTTCTCAAAATACTACTTAATAATTAAATATTTTTCCAAAACGATAATTTTTAAGTAATTATTTTCCCGAACTGGAGTAAATAAGCCTACTCAGGGTAATATCATTCCTCTAGCGGCCATCCAGTTAATTTGAAAGAACCATTTTGACGACTTATTCATAAATTAGATGATAAAAGATATAAAAATATCCTCAATTTAACTGTCATTTAATAGGCAGTTCTGGCAGAAGACTATTTAGGAAATACTTGTCAATTACAAAGGACTATATTGGTAATTATCGTTTATTGAGAACCAATTTCAGAAAACATATTACTCCCTCCGTCCTAATTCTTTCTTCCCAGTTTGACTTTTCCCCATTTTTAATTTTTGGCTTTGACTTCAAATTTTACCCTCCTTAAAAAAGATTTTTTGAAATTTTTTTTTACAATCATTCAAAATATAGAGTTAGAAGATAATTGGTGTAAATACATGAGGGTATTAATGTCATTTGTCATCTTTTTTTTCCTAATGGGAAGGTAGTTTTAGGACGGAAAAAAAGGGGAAGTGGAAAGAAAGTTTTAGGACGAAGGGAGTATTAAAAAGGATCATTTTAAAAACTTACTCTATTTATTTTTTCAAATCAATCAGCTGCGTGCTAGTTGGTGCCCAAGTGTTTGTAATCGGTCCAAAGTTGTTCCCACTTGCTTCTAGCGCCACAGAACCAAAGTATTTTGCCTTATTTACCAAACGGGCTTCAAAGAGAATGGGCGAAGCCTCTTTGGATTTTAGCTAAAGGAACCATTCTGGTCCGGACTTGATAAGTCCGAGTTAGCCCGGACCGGACAGGAAACCCAAAACTCATACCTTATTGACACGGAGGCCGGACTTGTAAATGTCAGACCGGTTCGTATCGGTCCGATTTAGATCCAAAACAGGATTACTGTGAAATGCCAACATAGAGTCAACATAGAGTGAGAAGTTATAACATTGTACATTTTGGGATAAAATATTAGAAAATCTTATTTTGCTATAAATATAAGAATGAATTCCCAAAATGATCCTTTCTAATAAAATGTTTTCTCAAATTAGTCTTCAATAAGCAATAATTACCAACGCGATCCTTTGTAATTGAAATGTATTCTCTAAATAGTCTTCTTTCAAAAATGTCTATTAAATAACAGTTAAATAAGAAAATATTTTGGTATTTTGCATAATCCCAACTATGAATAAGTATTCAAAATGGTTCTTTCCAATGAAATGGGTGGCTTCTAGAGAACGAACTCACCCCGAGAGTCGGCTCATGAACTCCATTTTGACAAAATACTTAACTTAGAAATTATCTGTAGGGGTGTAAATAGATTTTAATCGGATCGGATGTGCCTTTACCAAATCTGTATCCGTTTATTTTTGTCGGATATCGAATTCGGATACAGATCTTGACAGATACTGAAAATCAAAACCGTATCAGCATCCGTCGGATATCGGTCGGATATCGGATATATCCGTATCCGTTTCCAATTTTTTTAGACCAAATCAAACAATACTTTAATTGTCAATTAAACAAAATCAAAATATTATTAAATCAACTATAATTTTTTATGGGATAATTATTTTCTTATTTTTTATAGTTTATGATATTCTACAATGATTTCATATCATAAGAAGATATACACAGTAGATATATACACATATTTTTATATATATGTCTACACATATTTTTATGTGTCTACACATATATGTTGCATATATATAAATATATTATACTTTGAGATATGAACAGAGAAACAAAATACTTGTATAAAAATAAAAAAATTAGGAAACACTATATATAACGGATCGGATACACGGATAAACGGTTATTTAAACGGATGTTAATGCGGAGCGAATTATAAACGGATCAGATGTGTGATTACCAAATCCGTATCCGTTTAATAATCGAATATCATTAATCGGATACGGATAATTACCGCTTTTAACGGATGCGGATATTTTCCATATGAACGGTGATGGATACCCAATATTTTCCCAAGGACTGTAGATCGGCCCAGGTCCAAATATAGGTATCCGGGCCTTATAATATTGAAAAATAATACGAGAATAATAATTAATAGTAATAGAAGCACTGCTCACTGGATAATAACTCAAATCGGCCCTCTCCTTTATTCGGTCCTCTTAGGAACGGAATATGCTTAAGGATCGCCGGAATATCTTTTATTATTTACTCAAGTATTTTCTCTCCTTATTACAAGATATCTCTTCTCCTCTAGTCTCTCTCTCTTTTATAGGCTCTTCCCTCCATTATCCCTTTCAATAATGGCAGTGGTCAGGGGGAATGTTCGTGCCAGCCTGCATCCTCTGGGAAGAATGTATCTCAGCTACGAGCCGTCCACTGGAAGACAACAGCCTTTCCGTCCACCTCTCATTTCTATCCTTCGTCCGTCCTTTTCTCCTCGTCCCTGTCTCTCCTGTTAAGGGGGGACGTACCCTAATCTCTACATAGGATTCTTCCTCTTGGGTGAGTTATTCCTAATGGGCTGGGCTTCCACCCATCCTTAGGCCTCCCCCAGTCCTTTTCCTTTTCCTATTTTTCCTCACGGACACCTACATTCGACCGGCCAGGTATATTTTATCTGGGCCGAGCTCCTTTTGATGGACGGGACTCGAATTGGGCCTAAGCCCAATCCGTTAGTATTCTCTCGATGGGCTTGGTTCCCATCACATGCCCCTTTTTTTACATGTCAAAAAATAAAAAAAATTTTGACTGTAGTCTTCCTCGCTTGCTTCCTCAGAGAGTTTCTCCTCTGTCTTCTTTTCATTTTCTGACGAAGATTCTCCTTTTGGGGAAGACCCCAAGGTTTAACTTGTATTCACTCCAGATGATATTCCCCACAGTACGCCCCTACGGGCTAGGATGTATAATTGGTTGAGTGAACTGTTTGTGGCCACACACGGTTCTGTCCAATGGCTGCTTGGTCATGCGGACAGTCCCTGCAAACCAATAATGGTGGACTGTTTGTAGAGGAATAAATTGGGCGTGGACCGTGTGCATGGGAAAAGGCACGAGTGGACCTCTGGGAGTCCGTGCCCCTTTAATATCCATGGCCCACCTTTCCAAGCCACTTTGACCGGTCCCTCCAACTCCCTTAATTGCTGCATAGGACCGTTCTACTGCGCACAATTCAAAGTCCCCACCCTTCTGTTATTGTGGGACCGTAGCAGGAAAAAGGAAAGTAACAGAGGACCGCAGATCTGGGAAATCGGCAGAGTGGTCCGTTTGGAGTTAATGCTCTTGATCCGAATCTTAAGGTTGCCATTCTCTTTTCCAGGCGTCCCTTTACTGCCATTGGACCGTTTCGAAACAGGTGCCATTCAAAATTCTTACCGTTGCTGGATCTCCAAGGGTGGACCGTCTCTTCTTCTTCTTCTCTTTCTCTATAATACGGTCCCTCTCCCCTCTCCTTTCTCACGCTCACACACAACTCTCTACTTCCCTTGCCTTTATCCCTGCTGAATTACCCTCTCTCCTTCCCAAGACTTTCACTCTCTCTCACCATGAAGAAGACCATCTCCAAGGTCTCCAAGATCTTCAACGGCGGCAAAAAATCTAAGGAGGATGAGAGTGTCTCCTCCATCACCCCAGCGCAACTAGGGGAGATGAGGGCGATGACCCCCCCTGACTACGGAGTCCAGGAAGCCACAGGTACTACTTTGGAATGCAATCCTGACATCTCCCGCCGGCTGGTCGTCCACTACGACTCGGTTAGGATGGGATGTCGCTTTCCTCTCCACCCCCTCTTGATTGAGATTTGCACCCGCTATGCCATCCCCCCGGCCAAATTTCCTCGAACTCCCATGAGAGTCTGTTCGGCTTCTTGGCGCGGTGTCACAAGAGAGGCATCCAACCCACTTTGAAGCTTTTCCTCTCTTTCTTCCGTCCCCACAAGTATGATGGCGAGTTGGGCCGGGGGTTCGTGAGCTTCACGGCCCGGACCGATATGCAGTTTTTGGATAGCCCGGTCGACAAACTTGACGATTGGTTCCGCCGCTTCTTCGTGGTGGTAGTTCCCGAAGATCTTCCCTTCCCCAACATGTGGCGGAAGAAGGAAGATAAGTTCCCTTCTCACCTTTTTCCCCCTCGCGACTCGAAGCTCGAGGGGGTCTTCCGTCTTCTTCGCAAGAACGGCCATCTGGTCCCCCGCGCGCTCCTCCTCAAGGACTCGTATTTTCGGGGTCTCGGGTATTGGGTGTCTCCCGATATCCCTCTCCAGGAGCCTTCGGGAAACACTACTTCTTCCTGGGTTCCTCCCTTTAGGGTCACTCGAACCCGTCGGGCTTCGCGGCGGTCCTCGCGACGAGATCCTTCCCCGGAGGAGGACACCGAAGGCGAAGAAACGGAGTCCGTGACTGGGGCACAGCCTCTATCATTGGTCGAGCGTCCTCCCTTTTCGGGAGAGGTGGTGGTTCAGGACGTCTCTGACGAGGATGGCCTCTATGACTTTTCTCCTGGGACCCTGAGGGGACCCCATCTTATCCCCGGCGTTCCTCACCTTCCTCTCTTTGGTAGGGGAACTTCTTCTTCGGCTCAGCCCAGGGGCCCACTAGGTTTCCACCCCCAAACCGGTGGGACCCTTCCGACTGGGCGCGCCACTGGTTCGCAAGGGTCCCTTGAGCCGCCTCACGTTCAGGTGGCCGGATTGGGATTCCGTGCAGCACTGAATCTCCTTGGGAATATTCCCCCTCCTCTGGCTGTGAGGGGGACGAAGCAATTTCCCAGCCCCAAACGTCCAATATCCTCAATTTTGCAAATTCTGCGGCGGAGAATATTTTTGGGACACCCTTTGGTCATGGCGACGTTCCTCTCCCGGGAGCAAACATCCATCAGTCTTTTTTGGAGACGGAGGAGTTAATTCGGTCCTCCAGTTTTGGGAAGGCTACTGTCCCATCCTCCATCCGTCCCACTGCCATCCCCGGTCCATCAATTCAGGAGACCGGGTCTTCCTCTTCTTCTCAGGTCCGCCACAAGAGGGGCCGGAACTCCACCCCTCTCCCCGGTTCTCTGGTGTCCGCCGGTCCTCCCATGGGGACCGCCGATGATGAGTTTCTCATTGGGCAAGGGAGTCAACCCTTTCCCTATGCCCGGGAGGCCTATCAGTTCACAGGATACACGTCCTGGGTAGGACGGGACTTCAACAACAAGCTTCAAGAAATACAACAGCTCAAGAGGGACCATCCTGACGTGGTCCACAGCCCGGCCTGGCCATTTATGCAGGAGGAGTATACTCGTATGGTCAGTGTCCTTTCCCTCCTTCATTCTAAGTATTTCACTTACTTCTTTATGCTCTTTAGGACTGCTAACTTTTGCTGCCTTCCTCTTTTGACAAGCCGACTATGTTGCCACTTCCTCTGCTCAGCGCCATTCCCTTCGCCTATTGGACCGCAATGCTGCTTTATCAAAGGAGCTGAGGGATTTCAAATCTCGGCACTCTATCTGCGTTGAGCGTCCGGAATATGATCGGGTTTTGTCCGAGAACGATCAGCTCCACTCGGACCGTGAGCGGCTTGCGGCCAAGGTCGGGCA